AGCAGGAATAAATTTGTACTCCAAGTAGACCCGGAAGTAGTTACCCTAGTTTTCCATTTCAGGATGCACTTTGATCTTTCAAGATCTGCTGAATGGTCACTTGACCTCATTGTCACTGTGCTTACAGAAAGAAAAAACCATGAAAAGTATAACAAATACAAACTACTTACTAAGTCAGTGTCATACAAATGAAAATTAATCATGGAAATTAAAAACTACAAACCATGCTCCTTTGGTCATATCACTACAAATCTGACTGCTGTAGAGCTACAAGGGATGTAATAAGGAGAACACTTTGAGAGTGAAACATTAGGGTTAGCATTATCACATTTTTGACAGCAAAACCAGGACTCCAGATGTGTTTGCCCCTTGCCCTGCCCAGCTAGCCCAGACTGAGATGCCTGGAAGGCAATCCAGTGAAAATGGGAACTCTTGCCACCTCAGCAGCACCATTAGGACCTTCACTCCTCTTGCCCCAGGACCCTCCAGCAAATACCTGGGCCCCTTGTTTCAGATTTCCAGTTTCCCATCCTCCTACTGCAGATTTTCAAATTCGCTGCTCTTTCTATCCTGTATCTCTTAGTGCAACCTAATAGTCCAGGCCCCAAACCCCACTCAGTCCATCTTACTGCTCTCCACTCCTTCCATCACAGAAATACTTCATCCTCATATATCCATCACAGAACCCAAAATATTCCTCTGCCCTTTCAGAGCATCCACTGTTACCTGGATGCAGGCACTTAACGCTGGGCCTGCGCTCCGGCGCTGCCGCCCTGCACAGAGCATCCAGCTGTTTCCCCCTTCCCAGCCCACGCTGCAGTCCAGCGGGCTTCTGGCACTCCCCGTCTCCCACTGCACCCGAGACTCTCCCACTCCCTCGAGGCAGTCCCTCCCCAGTACATCTTCCCATAAAGTCTCACCTCTCTTTCTACGCTTGGCAGGGTCTTCAAAAAGTACCAAAAAGAAAAAAAAATTCTGCCTTAATAGGATTCAGAGGGCAAAAATGAGAACATGCTCAAGGGGAAGAAAAAGCCAACAGACAAATAGTAGCCCTAATCCTGCTCCCATTCAGTCAATGAACTTTGCAGTTGACTTTAACAAGGATCAGATTCAGCACATAATATTTCTTTTAAATTACAGCTTTCTCCCCTACCGGTACTATGTTCGTTAATGTTGTGCTTTACATTGTGTACAGGGGGAGCCATTAGCCGGAAAATTAATAAAGCTGCTAAGTAACACAATAAATTGTGGAGCACAGTACATTAACAGACTGACACATCAGCTGTTAATTAATTTTGAGTAACAGTATTACAAGATAATCTAGTGTCATTATTTCTGACAACATACTGACTATATCCTCATTTCTTCTCCAGGAACAGTACCAGTTTCTGTACAAAGCTATTCTCAGCCTCGTCAGCACACGGCAAGAAGAAAACCCCTCAGCATCTATGGACAGTAACGGCTCAGCTTTACCTGATGGAAATGCAGCTGAAAGTTTAGAATCTTTAGTTTAATTAACACATCAGATTAAACACACACACACCCCTACATCGCACCAGTCACACCTGGAGTTTACCATTATTATTTTCAGTTTTATATTTTGTGGGAGGGGCAGTCTGTCCAGTTACTATATATATAAAATCAGATCCCAACCGTTGCTCAAGCAAACAGTCACTTCTGTTACACTTCTGTAACTTTACTGCGAACTTTTATCATTAACAATGTGTGCCTTTTCTTGAAAGATTTCTTGTAATACGTTGTTACGTCTGGACTAACTTGATTGATTTTTACAGTGTTTCTAAGAATTGAATTGTGGTATGTTTTTTCAGTATTAGTTTTTGATTTATCTGGCTTTACTTTTAACTTAAAAATTATCATATTTATAGATGTTAGAGGATTCTCAATTACAAACATGTCATGGGTTTAGTATTTGATTTCTCTGCTGTATTTATAACAATTTACATTTGCTAGAAATATAACTTTTAATATAGTAGAATGTAAATAAAATACTGTTCTCCATAACATTCAACATTTTAAGACTTCAATTAGACATTTAGAATAGTAATCTGATACTTACTGTAAATACTGCTACTTCTGTAGTGATTCCATGGACCAAATTTATATTTATAATTGTAGATTTTTATATTTTACTACAGAGTCAGTTTTCTAGTTCTGTGTAATTGCCTTGTTAAAATGATGTAGTCCAGTATGTTTTATTTTAACAAAGTCTTCTGATATATAATTGTGCATCTTAAGCAATTAACCTTCATATAGCTGCATGTGATTTTAACTTTTTGTGGGAAATAATAGAAATCATTTGTTTTGAAATGAGAAGTTTTTACGAGAATAAAACCTGTACTTGGCATTGTTAAATTGTTTTTACCTATGGCATTGCAAAAATAAATATAAATATTCCAATCTGTGCTTAGCGGTCTACCACATACAGTGAACCGTCTCCACTGTCACGTAGGAGAGCTTTCACTCACAAGAACAAGGGCTCAAGGCTGACCTGGAAACCGCTGCTCTTCCTGTGGAATCTGTGAGTTCAGAAGACACTTTTGGAAAACATTTTTGCTATTTAATGTCTGCTCCATTTCCACCCGTACCCACACTGTCCACGTTAGCTCCTTTTTAGCCTCTCCTTGCACATCTCCTGATCTGGTTGCCCACAGGCTAATGGGCTGTCCCGGGCCTCCAAACTGCCTTAATTGCCCCCTCACACCACCCCTCCATGATGGCTTTGCTTCAGGTCAGTCATTCAGCTGCTGAGCTCTTTGCTGCCTCCTTTGGCAAAGCAAAAGCCAAACTCTGGGAAGCAGCAAAGCAAGGAATCTCTGCAAGAACAAAAGCAAAATGTTTCGATTTGGGCAATCAATTATTGTCTGTAACCTTCTGAACTGGTAAGAAAAGGTACTGATTGTACTGATGGTTGCAGCACTGAGGAGGGTGGAGGAGCCTGGAGCAGACTAGATCTTTGATTAAAGTAGCACAGGCCGTGAGACTGTTTTCTCACTTCGGTACATTCAGTTGCTACCTAGAAATACTGAGAGCAGAGATAGGGTTCTGGACCAGAATGCCAAATAAACTAATGGACAGTATCTTAGATGAAAAATAAGGATGGGAGAAGATGGACCTGATGTGGACTTGGAGATTTTAGTCGATTGATGTCCTGATGCAAGGGTGTGTGAGGACTCTCCATGTGTCAGCAGATAGATCTAGACCCCTTCAGCAGTGTGGGATTGAGGACCGGTGAAGCTGCAACAAAGCCAAAACAAATTTAGATTTAGAGGAATCTAACCAGTGGAAACTTTAAAAAATCCTCGAACTGTTGATACATGAAATGATTGTGAGGTGGTAGACCAGGACGCAGAATGGCACACAATGACAGAACAGCTAGCAGGAGACTTTTTCCTGCTCTTGTCCCTTTTTTTTTTTTTTTTTTAAATAATCCTATAGACAAAATAATCAATGGAACGTATAGTTTGTTTTGTAAAACTGTGTTAACATTTAATGCACTTGAATTCTGTTTTGCACTTGACCACTTCTTTTCATAACCACAGTACCACAGTCCCAGGCATTATGGAGTGGCCGATTCCACTGGGCCTGGGGCCCCAGGGTTTCCTGTCCCCTGTCCGCCAGGGCTGGACACAGGATAATTCTGTCTCAGTTCAATTCCCCTTTGCAGTCCCGGCAAGGGACCACGCAGGGCAGGTATTCTGCACAGGGACATACACACACGCACACATACTAGAGAGAGTCGTAGAAACAGGACTCACCACACAGAAAACAGGATTTAAAAAGAAGGCAGGACAGAGGGCAGGGATCAGGTAACGAGCGCAGACGGGCAAGAGTACTGCCCAGCAGCCTGCTTACACGCACACATCCCCTTTTACCCCCCTTCTCTCCATTTTCCCTCTCTTATTCTTCCCCTATCCACCTTGATCCCTCTGGTCTTCTCATCTCTTTGCAGGTAAACAACCTAATTACCTAAGTACCTTTTTTTCATGGGCCCCAGTTTTGTTACGCCCATACCCAAATGTGAAACCTCTGATGCTGCCACTTAGATCATCTCAGCCGTACATGGTATTACCAACACAGGGACCTCGGTACTTCTGGCCTTGCAAGCTTTCCTTTCCAGAAGGTCTCCGCCATTGTTTGGCCTTCCCCAACACACGTCCTCATGAACTGCCCGTGAAACGCAGCCAGAGCCTGTGGCACCACCCGTTCCAGCCGTCAGCTGCTCACCCCTGCTCCCCGCAGCAGTTTCCCCTCCCGTGCCGCGCAGTTTCTCAGGTTCTGGGCAGGTAGCTCAGCCTCGGGCCAGGGGTGCCTGCAGGTACTAGTGCCTGCCTCTTTAGTTCACAGCCATAACTAGTTGATTGAATGATTCAGAAATGAGGGAACCTACTTTTCTGAGCCAAGACATCTTTATTCAGGTTTTACACGGGGTTTTTTGTGGTTTGGTTTTTTTTTTTCCCTGTGGTCCTCGTCATACCTACATGTTTGCTAATTCCGAGTTCGGGGAAGAACGGGACTGAGATACGGCTTCTAAGTGCAAGTGAACTTACAATGGATCCCTAGCAAAATTGAACACTTGTGAAAAATAGGATCTAGATTTTTTTTTCCTTATTATATTTGTATTATTTTGGGGGTGATAAGAGTTACAAATGTAGAGAAAGGGCTCATTGTCCCAAGCGATACACATTTTTGAACACTTGAATTACACGTGCACTTTCTTCGCAGCTTTCAGGCAGAAAGTTGGTGTACGCAGAGGTGTGTAACGATGGCTCTTTGAGGAAAGGAATATCTTCTTTTTCCAGGCGGGCTGGGCATTCCGTCCTACTTCCTCTAAAGCACTCGGGTTGACTGACGCCCTCACTTGTACATCTAGGCTAAGGGGGACAACCATATCATATAATTCCCCCCTCTCATTCCAAAAACATAGACACAATTTTTCCTTTCTTAATCTCTAGGGGTGCCCATACGAGTGAGGTTAATTGTGATCTTATGGCCATTTGTAAACTGTATTCCATAATCTTCTTCGCGTGTACTTCTGCTCTTCACCACATTAGCACATAACATAGAAACTGTAATGCTCCTGTGCTACTTCTCCAGCCTTTTCTTTAGGAAAACTGGCTTGTAGCCTCACATAACTTCATGCTTTTTATTTTGATATCTTCTATTCATGTATTTACAGTTTCATATAGTTGTATGTACAAAGTCTTTTTAGGCCAATTAATTCTGCTATGTTTTTCAAGCCTCTACAGACCAAAACCGAAAAAGGAATCCTCCTTTCTAAAATCCCGTCTTGATATAACTGTTCCTTTCACCCTAAATGTTTTGCAGACATTTTAAAATGATAATCCAAGGAATCAGCTGTCGTGCAAGGTTTCTTCCAGAGCTGTTTGTAATCACATTCATCATCTTAGCATGCTGACAAGTTATTTAAAACATAAGTGCTTAGGATAATCTCTTTACTCACACATATTGGTTCTGATCTAGAAAAAAATAAGAATCGTAAAAAATCTATAATCTTCAACCATGATGGATTACAGATTTTAATAAATGCGTGTCAGTTCCCCTCTCAGACAAAGGCCATATTCTAATTAATTTTTTTCTTGTAATCCAAGCTACAGACTCAAAAGACATACAGCCTGCCTTTTCAAACTGGGTCAAGTGTGGAAAAGATGTATATCTCCTGCAAGAAGTAGGATATTAATAAACAACGTCAGTTTAAGATTTTTTTTTTTTTTTGCAAAGCTGTAAGTCATGTGTGCCAAGGAAAACTTGACTAGTGAGGACTTCTTCCTCCTAAGAAATCATAGGGCAGTAGAGAGTTAAAAAAAAAAAAAAAGCAAACAAGTAATTTACTAACATCACCAACTTTTTAGTGATTGTGATGGTATGATTTAATCCTTACAGAAAAGCTTTACAAAAGTGAGCAATAAATGATGACTAGAAGTCACACAAACTCATAGCTATCAGTACAACAGCATATTAGTTAAAGACCTTGGTACAGACTTTGAAAATCAGTTGACTAAACTGGCCAGCAATGTTTTATCACAACGCTTTACCTGCCACGGTCCATCACGATGTCCTCGGGTAACGCGCGTTATTTCGGATGGGTTGGTGTTTTCTGCGGTGAATGCTTACATTAAGATGAGCTCAGCAAAGTTAAACTCGTTTCTCTCTCGAATTGTTCTGAAGCGTAAGCAAAGCACGGCTGGGGAGGAGAGGAGTCATGTCGTCTTGTTGGGGTTAAAACAGAAATGGGGGCCCAACTACCACCCTAAGTCTGAGGCGCCCTAGGTTATGGTCTTGATTTTCACTGCTCCCCTGCAGCAAGGCGAAGGTCTGACCATCTGTTTCTGTTCCACAGGTTTGTGCCTTGTTGGATTAGGGACAATTTCAAAGGGGTGAGAGGGAAAAGAAGTCTCAGGACATTTGGCCACATTTCCTCTGATTCCCCTCTGTTTCCAATTGCATTATTTTCTTTTTAGAGCCAAAAAAGTAGGGAAAAAAAAACCTCAAACTGCTCTGGCTTACTGAACTCATTCCCTTGTTTTAGCAAAGTCACATACTGTGACCCTATAATTAGTCACAGTGTATTCAGGATGGTCTGATTTGATCTTGATAAATTCTGCTGGACACTCAAACCTAATTTTTTCTCCCCCTCCTTGTTAGTTTTCCAGCCTAATTACCCCAGATTTTTTTTCCCCTTAAACAGCTATTGTGCGATGAGCGCATGCCCTTGTCTGGCAGTCACACTTTTGTGCTTCAGTCCCTGAAAAGGGATGTCATTCTCATCTGCAGGAATATCCGGGACAAAGCGTGAAACACTGAGGCAAGGAAGGGAGTCTGAGTGTAATGGCGCTCGAGCACCTCTATCTCAGAAAGAAACTGGGATCTTGTCTGTCATGGAGAGCTGGCACTGGAATAAATTGCAAAATGAAAAAGTAAGAGACACACAGCGGCCAATAATCCATTCCTTGCAGCCTGATGTGAACAAACATCTGAAGAGCCTTTCAGCCCAGGCAATGAGAGCAGAGACCAAACCACGCATTCAGCCGAGCAAGGCCCTCAAGCCGAGACAGGCAGCGAGACACCGAGTTTTCATTCTTTCTGGGGTACAGGGAGATGTTATACATCCACTGTTCTGTAGCTTTCCACTTAAGTAGTTGTCCTTGTACCCAAGCACAAAACTTGTGCTAAAAAATTTGCATCTCTTAAGATTATAGCTGAAGATGATGTCTAGGTACAGAGAGAGAGATATATATATGTGCGTATATATATGTATATAAATACCTGAGTGTTAGATGTGGATGCTTAAATAATCCTTGAAGAGTCTTCTCTTGTGAGTGTAGCAAGAAGAACGGAAAGGTATTTCAAGTACATAGAGAAGTCCACGTGTAGACACCCT